CCTCTGTGTTCTGAAAGCGCCTGTTCAGTCCCTACCATGAAATCTCCCTGAATCCTCCAGCCCTCACCCCGCCATCACCCCTAAATATGTTTTATGTTTTGTTTTTATAAGTTCACACTTAAATATAAACGATTTTGCTCCCAATTTCTTCCCATGCACAGTCTTGTCTCTTTGAGGAGGAGACCTGGCGTCCCCTGCTGTGATTCCGGGTGCAACAGGCACTTGAGCAGTGTGACAGTTAATTTTATGGGTCAGTCGGGCTGGTCCACAGTACTGGTATTTGATCAAAAACCAATCTGGATGTTTCTGTGAAGGTGTTATTTTTTTTTTTTAGATGAGATGAACATTTAAATCAGCAGACTCTGAGGAAAGCACATTGTTCCAATAAACATTGCGTGGATGGGACTCGTCTAATCAGTTGAAGACCACAGAGGAAAAATATCTGAGGTTCCCCAAGGAAGGAGGAACTGTTTCTAGACTGCGCTGGACTCGAACTGCAACGCCAGCTCTTCCCTAGGTCTCCAGCCTGCCCACCTGTCCAGCACGTCCTGGACTTGGCCCCCACGATCATGTGGGCCGACTCCTCAAAGTCTCTCAATCTCTCGAAAGACATACATTTAGATATAGCCATCTCTTTATATAGAGCTTGAGATCTCTCCTCTCTCTCTCTCTCTCCACACACACCACCCTACTGGCTCTAATTCTCTGGAGAACCCTGACTAGTATAGCACACAAGAAATACTTGCCAAGGAGAAAACCCACATTGGCTCAGTCCTACCAAAGCAGCAGCCAGCCTGCCTGTCTTCCTTCCTCCCTTCCTCCGTCTCCTTCCTCCCCCTCCCTCCTCTTCCTCCCTCCCTTCCTTCCTTCTTCTACTCCCCTGTTCCCCCACACACAGTGGGGGGACAGGCTCTCTCCATCTTTTGGCGAGGATGTCCTTTCATCTCCAAACAAAATCATACGGAAAAACTAATACTGTGACTAAAAAGGAAGAAGGGCTTCCCCGATTGAAAATGGATGAAGAGCCCTCCTCCCCCGACCCATGGGGCTCCCTCTCCCTCCCCAGGGCAGAGACCCCCAGGTACCCCAGGGCTCGAAGAAACAGTGTGAAACCAACAACCTGAATTCATGGTCATTTTCAGATTTCACCAGCTATTAAAACCATACAGAAAATGGGCACACCGTTGCCAACTTTTTATTTTGCCAAGAAAGGACACAAAAACAATAACAGTACAAGCAACAATCACCACCGCCCTCTCTTACAATCATTTCCTAAAAGAAAGGGCATTTTTAATGCTTAAAAGACTACCTCTGATTATAAAAGTGTTCTTTAAGTTAGATTTAGCTTCATTAATAACTCACCACTTTCCCCCTTTTTTCCTACCCAGGCTGGTGACAAAGTCCTCTGGCCTAGCCCAAGGCAGCCGCAGGACACCTGGGCTCCAGGGTCTTGGGAGGGAGGAGGTGGCCTCTGGGACTGGACAGGGTCAGTGTCCCTGCACCTTTTTGTTTTTTTCATGATTGCTATTCTAACACTTTTCAAAAGGATTTCACACAATTTAATGAGAGGATACATTATAAGCAAACAAGACCAAGGGCAAGAGAAGCAAGTGAATGCACCAACCAAGAGGGCACCTGAATCAAGAGGGCACCTGAATTGTGGTCACAACACCTCCACTTAGCTCCTGAGTGGCCCGCTGGCCAGACCACACGAAGAAGGGCACACAACACGAAGTGCTCACAGGGAAGGAGGCGGCAAAACTGCTCCTTCAGGATATTTGAAATCACTTAAGTTTTAGAGCAAACACAGTTTCGTATTTCACCCGGCTTTTTTCTTATCATTGCTCCTGATACGAAACAAGGGCGTGATGCAGCAGGTGGTACGACCTGGTGGTCAAAATCCCAGGCCCGGGAATCCGAGAAAACCGGGACTGAATTCAGACTCCATCACTCACAGGGGGACCCTGGGCAAGTGAGTTACTCATCTAAGCTTGAGTTTCCTCATTTGAGAGATGGCTGAGAACACTCAATGAGACAATACGTGTCTAGAACCATCATTATTGAATAAAGGCTTCACGGAGGAGCTACATGACGGTGATTCATCGAGAGGCCAAGTAGCACGGTTCTAGTATCTGACCTTTCAGGGTCTAAGCCCCGCGGGGGCGGGTCGTGTCTCTTACTCACAGCAGATCTCCAATGCCGAACACGATGGACTCATCCTGGGGGCCCAGGAAGTATCTGTTGAAGGAATGAATGGATGAACACACACAACTTAGAATACCAAGTGGAAGAAGGGGCAGAGGGTCTCTCAGCCCACCTCCCCTAAATGTGAGCCACGCTTTCTCAGACTTAGCTGTCCTGGCCATCACCCTGATGTAGATCTTCCCTGTCAGTATGAAGTCAAGTTCAAGTCCATGTGTCACTCCCTTCCTCAAGCCTGGGAGTGATCTGCTGGGCCACAAGCGAGCAGGGCAGGCCCTAGGTGTGAATTCCTTAACCTTGGAATAAGCCCCCAGGGAGCTGTTGGGAAGCAGCTGGCAGGGCTGGTGTCCACAATGACTGTCCCCACCCCACCCCCTTTCTATATGTGACATCATCAGGTGGGTCTCTCCTTTACAAACCTGTGCACGTGAGCCAGCTGGAGTCTGGCATCACACCAAGACGGAAAGTGAAATGTGGGATTGATTTCTCACCCCCCTCCACCACCATTTTAATTAGGGACGGGGCAGCTGGAGCACAAATTACTAAACCACAGTGCACCACCCTCTATGGAAACGACAAGGGCACCTTCGCACCCTCAGTGGCTTCTCTGTCCTCCAGGCCCGTTTAAGGATGCGCACCTGGGACAGGGCAAGTGACCCAGTCAGGCCCCCACTGGGCCCACCGCAGCTACAGAGGCCAGGTTTCGGGCCAGGGCCTCAATTGTCCTGCGGCGCCTTCGCTTCCTCCACCTGCTTGCACGGAGCACCCGCTTGGGGTGGGCACCAGGACACAGAAGGGAAAGACAATGGGGGAAGCAGGAAAGTGTGTGATTAAGAGGAGGGTGGCACAGACCACCCAGGGCACCGAAACGGAGTGCAGAGAAGAGACCAGGAGGGATCGGCCGGCAGCAGCCTCGGAGGAGAAGCAACGGGGCAGAAGGTGCCCAGCTAAGAAGTGAGGCAGAAGTGGCCAGAGCTGGAGCGACCAGAATCAATTTAGTCTCTTTTTTTAAATTTTCGGTGACTCTGCCAGTAACATGTAAAAATGAGGGCTGGGCATTTTCCATCCACCTTGTGGATCAGAGAGGGGGAAAAAGTCAGGAGGTGCGTGGAAGCAACCCAGGTGTCCATCAGCAAGTGAGAACATCCACACAGTGTGGTCTGTCCACACAGGGGACCATTATTCAGCCTTTAAAAGGGAAGGGAAATTCTGACACAGGCTACAGCACGGATGAACCTTGGGGACACTGTACCGAGTGAAATGAGCCAGCCCCGAAAGACCAACGCTGTGTGATCCCACTGCTGTGAGGCCCCTGGGGGAGGCAGTGAGGGATGAGGGTTGCCGGGGGCTGGGTGAGGAGGGAACGGACGGAGAGTTAGCATTTAATGGGAACGGGAGTTGGATTTTGTGAAAGGAGTTCTGTGGACGGATGGTGGTCATGGCTGCATTAACAGTAAGAATGTACTTCATGCCGCTGAACTGTACACTTAAAAATGTTTAAGACAGCAAATTTTATTACGTATACTTTACTACAATTTTTAAAATGCAAAAAAAAAGGAAGTGAGGGTGGAAAGGAAGAAAAAAAAATGAATGAATCAGGATGCACAGAGTGGGGGCAGAGATTAAAAATAAACACGCACACACACACACACACACATATATGCGTGCACACGCGGAAGAAAACAGAGACAGAATTTCACCAATCACTTTTCCTGTCTGGGTTTCAGTTCCTGCCCAAGACTACGCTGTACCACTCTCCCTTTCCTTACAATCAGTTTCCGTGTTTGCGTTTTACCTGGAAATTCATAACACACACTAGCATACTAAAGGCTCTAGGAAGTCCTTCAGGAAAGAAACCTCTTGAACTTGGTTTTACAAGGCACTTCTTAGATGTCTGTAGTTGGTGTTGGATGCAAGCCTTTTTTCTCTTGATAATCAGTTACACCTTGCAGGACACACTTGTGAAAACACAGCTGTCGTCAAAGGGCACCTGAGCCCTTGAAGCAGGAAGTGCAGAGAACATCCTGGGGTCAGGGAGACCCCTCCAGCTCCACGCAGAG